GACCTGTGCTGGGTTAGATGTGTTCGTCTGTGTAGACCGTTGAGATCTGTGCTGGGTTAGACGTGTTCGTCTGTGTAGAGTGTTGAGACCTGTGCCAGGTAAGACGAGTTTGTCTGTGTAAAGCGTTGAGACCTGTGCCGGGTTAGACGCGTTTGTCTGTGTAGAGCGTTGAGACCTGTGCCGGGTTAGATGCGTTCGTCTGTGTAGAGCGTTGAGACCTGTGCTGGGCTCATAGGAAGCCCAGACTAAGTGTCACCATCTGTTCTTCTCTGTCTAGGCCACAGAGCCTGGCAGGTCTCAGGGATCATATCTCCTAGGGTTGCTTAGATGAGGGTTCCAGGTTTGGGGTTGGGGCAGCCCTTGGCAGCTGCCAGATGACTGATGGGATTCTGAGCTGGTCCCTGAAGGCCACCATTGCTGTCACTGCCCCATACAGGAGACACTGAGCACAGGGAGGACACATACTCAGGAGGGAAGGGGTGACGTGTGGCAGTGTGGGATAGGAAAAGCGTGGAATTTTATCTAAATTAACATGCAGGAGGACATTTCTCCAAAGCATGGTGGAGTTCCAGGGAATTGTAGACTTAGGTATTTCTGCAGCCTCTCCCTTGCTCCACTGATGTGACTGGGCAGTGAGATGTGACAGTGACTGAGATGAGAGTCCCAGTCCCCCTGGAGTGGACGTCCTAGGAAAGGAGACAGAAGGTAGCTAAGCCAGGAGGCGTGATCCGGACCATCAGGCGGGCAGTTCCGTGGGCCCTGGGGTCATGCTCCCTCTCTCCCTGTCCTCGAGGCCAAGAGTGCTCCTGACCTAATGGTCTTTATTCGCAGATGACCTCATCCCACCTATGGACTTGCTTGAAATGATTGTCACCTGGATTTTTGAGGACCCAAGGTTGATTCTCATCACTTTTTTAAATACTCCGATTGCGGCCAATCTGCCAATAGGATTCTTAGAGCTCACCCCACTTGTTGGATTGATCCGCTGGTGCGTGAAGGCCCCCCTGGCTTACAAAAGGAGAAAGAAGCCCCCCTTATCCAATGGCCACGTCAGCAACAAGGTCACGAAGGACCCGGCCGTGGGGATGGACAGAGACTCCCACCTGTTGTACTCGAAACTCCACCTCAGCGTCCTGCAGGTCCTCATGACGCTGCAGCTGCACCTGACCGAGAAGAATCTGTATGGGCGCCTGGGGCTGGTCCTCTTCGACCACATGGTCCCGCTGGTGGAGGAGATCAACAGGTTGGCGGATGAACTGAACCCCCTCAACGCCTCCCAGGAGATCGAGCTCTCGCTGGACCGGCTGGCGCAGGCTCTGCAGGTGGCCATGGCCTCAGGAGCTCTGCTGTGCACGAGAGGTGGGTGCCTCCCTGGCCCAGGCCTCCTGGTGCGGGGACACCACCGCCCTGCAGAAGGAAGAGGGGATCCTGGACAGACACTGTTTTTGCTTCATTTAGGACTTCTTTTCCTCCTAGTGAACACAGGGGAGGAAGGTACCCCAGCCGCGCCCCCTGCACTCCACCCTCCCTGCTTACCCCGTCAGGGTCCTAACATCCCACAGATGGGAGGTCTTAGTGTCGCCCAGGACTGGGGA